TGAGCGAGTGGCTGCGGGGTGCTTAGTTGCTGGCTGGGGCTGAACCACGACAGAGAAGTCAATTGAGCTTCATTTGTCTGTATTTAGTCCAGAGGTGGTTGAACGGAACCATCTGCAGGTCCAATGGAAACTGGATGATTACCTCAGAGATTTCTCAGCATATGTTCATAAAGTAATTGTCTAGTATATGCTTCTGTGCTTTAAGAAAATTATTCCTGATTAAAATAATTACATGTTTTGATGGCAAGTCTGGTGAAGAAAGGAAAGACTCAACACTCTAATCCAGGTTTACTGGGTTACGAACATTGTGTTAGCAAGTCTTGGGTTGTGGCCATTTTGAGATAGGTGAAATTTTTGAGCTATATGAGATAGGTTCAACACTTTGAATATTCAAGTGTTTAAATACAAGAAGACAAGCTCAAAATTTTTTTTTACTCTTGGCCAATATTTTAGGGATTTTTGTGGACTTGATTCCTAACTTTTCAGTCCTTGAAGCTGTAAAAGCTTGAATGTCTACCTCTTTTATATGTAGCTGTTCTCTCATCATAAAGACTACCAGGGCAGTAAATTCTGTTGTTACAATTCTGCACTGATAATGCAGTCTTAGAGCAGAAGTTGGAAGAATAAATGTTGGTTTAGGCTTTCTCAGCTAAAAGAAAAGGATATCTGCTTTCCTGTGTGGGATTTGCTCCATGCAAAAGAACATGTATTTTTTAAAATAGAAGATAGCAGTTCTTTGGCTCTAAGACTTGTTGGCTTATTTTCAAGGCTATGACATGTCATCATCTCTCCCTTCTCCCTCCCTCATTACATTCCTTGTAATGTTACATTAGCTGGACTGAGTTCTCCCGTGAAAGGATTTGAAATGCGAATTTGAGATTAAATAGTTGCTACAGTGCTTAAACAATGTAGATTACTATAGTTTAGCAAGGCTGTTTTAGAAGATGGTTCTATAACAAAGCTTACAGCTTCTTTGCTTTCCCACTGAGTATTTTAAGTAATGTCTGCTTTGAATATAGAAAGAATCAAAAAGGAACAGATGGAAAAAAGTTTAAAAATTATATAAAGTGTCCTATTATGTGTGTCTGTGTATTTTAAAAATGAATCTTTAGAAGTACTGAATGATGATTTTCCCTCTCAAAATCAGAGTAGAGATGTTGGTAAAGCTGTTCCTTTCTGAATCGCTAGAGGTGGGAGGGATCTGGTATACTTCCACTTGGAAGTTTCTTTCATTTATTCTCAAGTGGTTTGTCAGGCTATTGTAAACTTTGTTTTCCATGGTGGATTGAAATGACTGCAGTGATGTCATGCAAGAATTCCACTTTGAGTAAATAATTTAAAGTCACGAGTCGTTGTCTACAAAGTAAAAGTATTTTCAATGTTAATGCAAGATAAATAATTAACAAACATAAGCAAATCAGATAAAAAAGCCTTAAGATTATCATCCGGTCATTAAAAAGTGAACTAGGGGAATAATGTGGCTTAACAACTTTTATCTTTTAATGTAACCCGTTGGTAAAGGTATTGAGAAAAGTTTCAGATAACTTGGGAATTACATTATTCATTTAGTTTAAAAAGCTGAAATGTGATTCAAATAACTTCCATCCTGGTTGCATAGACTGAATAAGAATTTTTCTCAGGCAAGTGCCTTCAATGCAAGCTGTCATTTAACCTTTTCTTCTCTTTCATCCTTGCCCCTTTCATACCAACTGAAAACAAAACCCTACTTTTCTGAGTTTTAAAGGAAACCTGCCATATAAGAACCAGGAATAAACTGATGAACTGACACCTCCCTAAGTCTGAAGATAAACTGCTTGAATGCTTTCATTGCGTTAAAAGGGAGAGAAGAATAGGTGACTGTCAGATGACACCACTGAGAGTCAGATTCCCTGGAGAGCCACCTCAAGCCCATTAAGTAAAAGAATTGCTATAGGGAACATGATACAGGAAAGCATCCAAAGCAGAGAGAGGTTTTTATTTATTGGACAAAGGGAAGAATAACTCTAATATTGCTGCCCTGATGCCACTCCAACAGGACCCTCCCTCTGCAGAAAGAGGAAGATAACACATATTGACATCACTGGAGGAATATCTAGTGTATTTGAGTGCTGTAGGATTAATTTAATTATCAAATTATTTTATTTCTGTGATTACAAATTAAATGGCATGGATTTATCAGAAGTTTTTCTCCTTAGATCATGGGAAGGATTATATTATTGGAATGTGTTTAGGGATAATATTGGTTGGACATATGCATTTCAGGTGGGAGGAAATCAGAATCTTTCAGATCATGTTGATATGGTGTATCTGGACAGCAAGAAACAAGGCAGAATTCACTGTGACTTGGTAAAAGGTTGAGACTTCAAGAGATGGTGATTTTTTTTTTTTAAATGTGTTGAGCAGACTTTTTCCTTAAATACGTGAAGAGTTATTTTGCCTGATTCTATATTATAGGACTTGTTTATAGGACTTTACTTATGTTTCCTGAAACTTGTAATTTTTTTTTCTTTCTTCTTTCAGCCAAAAACGCTGCATGCAGCTATTCTGAAGATGCTGGTTCTAGATGGTGAATCAGTCTATACCTTGACTTCTCATCCTATTTTGCTGCTTATAGCAAGGATAATTCTTGTGAATTCAAGACACAAACTTGCATCTTTCCAGGTAAGAAATATGTCATTAATGATTATGACTGCCAGCTACTCATTAATTGGTGTTCTCATTCTTTTTTTCATACCTCATTGAATTAGTATAACTTCCATTTCTTTTTCTGTAGCTCTGAGGTTTTTCCCTCTGAGAAACAGTTTAGACAAAGTGATTACAATTAAACACAAGTATCTTTTTCATAAAGATATTTTCTCCCTGTCTTCCCCAAAAGAGAAGATGCCTTCATTACTTGGAAAAATTAGAAAATTTAATAGGAAGCAACTTTAAGAGAGACATGTACTCTGTGACATTATCTGGGGGACGGGGTGGTAGTGGTGGGAGAAAAGCCCTATAATGCAGCATACATATACTATGTCCTTTTTAACAAGCTTTGGGATGCTGTTAACCATTACTGTATGAATTCTAAGCCATGAGTTCAGATGCCAAGGAAGTCCTCTCTTTTGTTTGTCATTGTCCTCTACCACTTCTGCAGGCATCGATGTGGAAGCTACCTTAATTTTCTGTTGTGCTTGGACATTAAAAACAAGAAGATATGATGAACCTCTTTTCAAGAGGGTTTTTGGCTCTACCTCATTTGTAATTTAGCAGCAGGCTAGTTGGTAGCAGGACTTTCTGAAACTGGGGTACTTTTAACAGCAGCAACTTCTCTTTATTGCATTCCAGTTGAACAGAATTTGGCTGGAGATCAAAATGCCACATGGTCCCTCTTTATGCTTGGCTGACAACATCCATTCCCAGCTGGGTCTTTGTATGAGTGATGAATTAAACTGTGTGGGAGATGTTGGCTGTACTGCATTTCTGGAAGCCAGGCTCTTCCATCGTTTTCCCTGTTATTCACAGATGAGTGCTGTTGAATTTCAGCAATTGGGTCAGTCAGGAAGGCAGAAAATGTGCCTGGTATAAAAAATTCCCTTGCTGCCTTCCCTCAGACTGACATAATGGGGGGCCACCTTCTACCCAGTGGAGGTTCAATTACTTGTGGCTACATCAAGTTTGGATAGTAGTTCAAAGCAGCAACTGATAAAAACTACATTCATCAACAGGTCAGTGTAGCAATTAAAGCTTGCCATTCTTTCTCATTTCAGCTTGATTCAAAGTATCTTAATACCTTTGCTTCTTAAGATTAGTGCAAGTAAATTTAAAACAGGGTAGAATCTTCTGCAAGATATTATCTAAAGCATTAATAAAGCCCTACTTTATTCAGAAATGCTAATGTACATGGAAGATTAGATGCTTAAAAATTATCAAAAATTCTTAACTTGGCTCTGAAAAAACTAACATTGCTGACAGAATATTGTATAGAGCTCAGCTGGCTTACCTGAAACTTTATAACTATGTTCTCTCTGATTCTAACGTTTCTGAGTGGCAAGCATCAGGCCTCAGGAAATTGTATCATTAAGCTGAATACTCATTGTGTGGGAAAATGAATACTTCATTATATAAAGCTAAAGAAGTAATTTGCAACTTCTTATTTAAATTGCCTTTAGGTTTCTAAGTAAGTGATGAAGTATTGGGATTTGACTTCTTTCACAGAGTCTGTTGTTTGTGTGCTTTTACTTTGTGCAGCTTGGTATCAAAAGTGATCTTTCATTACTTTTTGAAATAGATGCTATTATTCTTTTTGATGGTTCCTTTCTAGGGACATGACAGTCAACTACATGTGATTGGTTTGGATGTTTTTGCTTGAATACTGTACAGCCCTTAGGTCAGTCTGTTGTAAGCGTACCTGTATAAAAAGTTAGAAGATAGGTGCCTCTCAGAAACACTCAAACATCTGTTTCACAGAAAATTATTGGTGTGCTAACAGTAGCAGAATAACTAGTAATCATTCGAGCTTGTGCAGAGGTATGCCCTACATTCACAGATTATAATCTCAAGTATAATTTTGAGAATAGAATATTGTATTATCAATTAGCTTTTCCATGCATTTCCACCTGGTGCAGCTAGAGAGGGATAAGATATGCTGGGGAACTTCTGTTTTGTGTACACAGTTTTCTAAATCAGGTATTTCCTGAGCTGTGCTTCAGCTCTGCTATAGAACGATTACTTAGTTCAGTAAGGTATTTGCCCTTCTGAAATTCCACATACAAAAATTAATACTTTCAATTTTGATGGTAAGGTGTTGTCCTGGTTTTGGCTGGGATAGAGTTAATTTTCTTCCTAGTAGCAGGCATAGTGCTGTGGTTTGGATTTAGGATGAGAAGAATGTTGATAACACACTGATGTTTTTAGTTGTTGCTCAGTACTGCTTATGCTAGTCAAGGACTCTTCAGCTTCCCATGCTCTGCCAGGTGCACAAGAAACTGGGAGGGGGCACAGCCAGGACAGTTGATCCAAACTGACCAAAGGGCTATTTCATACCATATGATGTCATGCTCAGTATATAAACTGGGGGGGTTGGTCGGGGAACAGCAATCGCTGCTCGGGAGCTGGCTGGGTGAGCAATTGCATTGTGCATCACTTGCTTTGTATATTATTATTATCATTGTTATATTGTTATTATTATCATTACTATTTTACTTTATTTCAATTATTAAACTGTTCTTATCTCAACTCAGGAGTTTCTTACTCTTAGTCCTCCGATTCTCTCCCCCATCCCATCGGGGTAGAGGGAGTGAGCGAGCGGCTGCGTGGTGCTTAGTTGCTGGCTGGGGGTAAGCCATGACAGTAGTCTAGGACTCTTCAGGCTGGAAAGGTTACTGAAGTGTGAGATCATGGCTGTCTATTAAAATCATGAATGTGGCATGAAAGAAGATAAGTAGGAAACAGGTTTTTTTTTTTTAATTGTCTTTCTGTTACAAGAATTAGGAGATATGAAATCAAAGTAGCAAGTGGCTGCTCCAAAGTGAGAACACACATGTATTTCTTTTGTCTCCTGCTCAGAGAGTTTCTTACCAGATTGTGGTCCTAAACATTTGCAGGGTTCAAAGAGCAGCTAGAAAAATTAACAGAGGAAACTTTTAGAGCACTGTAGAGCTGCTTGAATATGTTCATCTTTAAAAAGTGAGCACCAGCCTAACATACATAAAACAACTGTTTTGGTTGGGTTTGTATTTTTTAGAAATTAGAATTGAATAGATTACAAAATCTATATTTTAAAGCCACTTACCTTTTTTCTTTTTCTAAAAACGATCTATACTTGTTGTTAACTTGAAGTATCTGTATTTTCTTTCAGACATTATCTTGGTGGACTCTAAGATATGTGAATATTCACCAGCAGTTGTTAGAGGAGAGATCACCTGAGCTATTTACTCTTGCCCAGACCTGTATAACACAAGGTATGTTTCTAATTACTTGGTTCATTGGCCTAGAGCATCAGTTGTAAGATGTCATGGGGAAGGGGAGTTTGTAGACACAACTATTGCAACATGATGCTTATCAGATGCTTATGTGACCACAGAGAGTATAGAAGAAACAGAATTCACTTAAATTGGCATGGACTTGTATGGCACATGCTATTTTCCAGACTCTAAGATGAAAATGGGAATATGTGATAGTAGTCAAAAGTTTTCTTCCCACGTGCTTAGCACTGTTAACTTATCACAAGCTCACTTGAAACCATTCTGTGCAGTTCTCACTCTTATTTAATTGAGCTTATTTTGGTTTGAAAAGGGAGTGTACTTGTTTCTCTGTATCTTCATGGGGGAGATAAACTTTTTTCCTGTTTTCTCTATCCCCACCTAAGTTTTGAGATTTGTTACCTCTCTGCATTATTGTAGAAAAAACAGACAGCATTAAAACTAAATATGTAATATATATTGATGTTTACAAAAGTATAATGTAGAAAGTTAAAATGTCAAATGTAATTATATTGCTTGGAATTTTTTCTAAGAGGAACAGACTCTTATACAGTCTGTTAATATCATTTGCCACAGCAACTGATAAAGCTGGAAAAAGGAGGCAAGCTTTTATGTACATTGGCCCCTCCCTACTTAGTTAGCTAAAGGTTCTTCATTTAACTTCACAAACCTGAAATTTCTGACCAATTACACTTAAGAAATTTTCTGTTGCATTTAGAGATGAATTGTCATGTATGTTTTTATTTCAACAAAGATGACAGCCTTAAATGCCAAAGTTTCAAGCCTCCTCTCTCCTACCACACTTTAATGGAGCTTTTTTGATCTGAACTGTATGTAGGTTCAGGCCATGCAAGTTATATGTAAAATATGAAGTGGGTTTTGGTCCTTGAAGAACTTTCAAATAGGTAACAGATATTAGTACAGTAATGAAATTGATCAGAGGTTTTTACTGGGTCCTCTGCAGTGAAGAAGCAGCTGATTTAATGCTTTTACTGGATGCTAAAAGCACTGGAATGGAAGGGTTTTGTTGCAATTCATGTAAACTATGATTTTTGTATTTTTTTTATACTTTATTAGAGAATTTTTGAACTAACTTCTAGACTTACCTTGCACAGGTCTGGGAATCTTAAGATTAAATTCTACTTATTCCTTAGTTTGTAGCTTTAAAATTTCTAGTTCTTGGAAACTTGGAAGTGTTGCTATTTGATGCACATATTAGGAAGTAATTGACAGGTGTAATTTAAGCACATCATGATAAATTAGTTGGCATGTTAATTTATGGGCTTAAGGACTGGGGATGGGGGTTGGACTTCAATAGGTGCAAAGAATGAAATCTAAATTGCATTTTTAATTTTCAAATTAAATTATAGCAAATTGAGTTTTACTTAAAAAATGGGTGCTGTCAGTGTAGCGGAGTTAGTCTTACAAGCTTAGCCTGTTTAAATGCTTGTATTGAAAATAAAAATTCTTTAAAATGTGGCTTCCAAGATATGTTGTAAAAGCTAATCTCCCAGCTACTTCTCATAGCCATTTTAAGAATGGAGTTGCATACAGGTGGTCAACTGTTCTGGAGAGGGTTATTTTGCTTAGTTTGGTGGTTGGGGTAAGCTTTTTGAGACAAAATTGTTGTTGCTTAGTTTTAATGTAGTAAGGGTTGAATATTTGTGTGTTAGGCTGTACAGTACTTCTAGAATGTATATTTTCTAAATATTTACCTAAAAATATCTGTAATTTTTCTATTATGAAACAAGTGGTGCTGGTGTGCTTCATTCAATAAGGAAGGTTAAGGAGATATGTTTGTAATATTTTTTTTAAAAAGCTTAGAAACTGTAAGTAGTCTTCTGCTCATTTCTAGGTAATTTTTTTGTTGTTCTCAGTATGTGTTCCAGAGATGCCCAGTGTCAAAGATGTTTAGATATCAGTGATTTTGCAGTTCTAATCGAGTACTGCAATTCTTGTTTGACAGTAAAGTTTTATTATCTTAGCTTTGGAGAATGCAGAGTACATGAAAACACTTCTGGGTTCTGTTAAGTAGATAAAATCTGTAATAGGGAAATTTGTAGCACATTTATGTGACTTTTTCTTCTTGGAAATACCTAAAAACTTGGAACAAAACTGAAAGAGAAGTAATCATAAAATGCATTAAAATTCATTGACTAGGTGATACTGGGTAGAGATACAGTAGTTTGTGCAGCCCTCATCTGTGAGAGGATGCTCCTGCATGTGCACAGATACTAAATGAGTACTAAGATGTCTGTTTTCAGTGACCTCTTTTGAGACTCCTGGATATGGTTTTCAGAGAAGATGGTGTAAACTACACTTGAATCTGTAGTGAGTTTTTCCAGGCAGGTTTTGCTGCCTGCTGCCTCTCAACAGTTTGTTTATTTTCTAATTAAAGCCACCTGGTATTCCAAACAAGTACCTTCATATTCCATAAAATAAATACTTAATAAACCTTTTAAATAGTCTTTGATTAGGGTTGAAAAACCCACTTGCTTGTTCTGTATCAACTTGACGGGACAACTTTGTCTTAATTACTAGAGAAAAAGATCTTCAAATTCAGGAGAAATTATCTTTTCTATTTAAAATACATTGTTCTCAAGTGTAATGTCAACATCATCACCTGAATAGAAGACAGCTGCAGTGATTCCCTGCTGTTCTGAAGCAGCTGTTGTGCAAAACCAACTGGGCTCAGTGCCATTTCCCACCCATTTGGCCCTGTGCCCAATATGGTATGGGATGCTAGAGAGATGTCTTAAGTTTGGGACATCAGTGCTTCTGTGCAGCTACATCAGTGATGTGAAGCTTCCAGCAAAGGCCCTTGAAGTCTCAAATGCCTAAACAAGTTTTGCGATTAGCACTGTAAGTAAATGATACTTAGATAGGGAGTGGCAAGACCAGTTCTCAATGTATCACTTCCATTCCTTACAGCAGTATGTATGGTTTTAGCACAAGTAATTTTATATTCAGGTCATTGAAACTTGCTAACTGTGGAAAATCAAGAAGTAAGGTATGATTATAGACTATAACCTGTTGGGTTTTTTTTCTTTGAATCCAAATCATTCAATTGGAAAGTTGCATTTTTGTGTGGTTTCCACATGTGTACATTCACATTCAGTATCTCGTAAGCTTTGTTGCACTGACAGCGATCTTTCAGGATTTAGTAGCTCAGACTACACTAACAAGTCAATGCAAATCTACGTTTACATTTGTATAAAACCCTTAGTGTGTCTTTGAGCACTTTTAGCAGAAAATCCCGTTTTATTTTTTTCCTCATATAAATAGGATCTTTTTCCTTTGGGAAGCCATCAGGGTGGTGTTGTATACATATAGAGTGTGAAAAGCAGGTAAAGATGGCAGATGTCCCAAATCATTTACTGAAAAAATTTTTTTACTCTTTTTGCAAAAAACAAAGCTTTTGTTAGAAAGGCAGATGTTTTATGGTCCTCTGGGCATTATTCTCTTTTTAAAAAAGAGAATGTGTTTAATGATAAATATGGACAAAAGAATTAAAACCTCAGATCACTTCTTAATTAAAAGTGTACATTACTTAGCTGAATGTTAACCTCACATTTAACTTTCTCAATTTTGAAGTAATGTGTTTGAAATGGGCTTTGTGTTAAAAGCAGGGATTAAGTTGCACAGACTTTGTTTTTAAATAGTTGTAGTCTCTTGAGGGTTTGGGTTTTGGTTTGTTTTTTTTTTTTTTTTAAGGATTAAGTTGTAACCTCCTGTGTTCTTTATCCTACTTCAGCTGAAAACCGTTGGAGTAATATTTTTAAGTTACCAATTTGCTTTCATTATACAAATTCTCTAAATTCTGACTTTGAAAAAAGTTAAGTTACCAGGCAGGATTTATCCATGCAAATTCTTACTTACTGAATCAAAAAAGCTGTGTAAAAATATGTTCAGACTTAGCAGCTTTCTGTACTAGTTGAAAGATTTTGAGGATTAACAAGTACTCAGAAAAGCCTAGGAGGTTTAAATGATAAAATCTATTCAGGCTAGAGTAGACTGCCAATCTCTAAATTCAAAAGTCAGAGAAAAATGTTTAAAAAATCCTTGATAATATTGGTTTTTCATATAGTAAGATTTTTTTTTTACTGATCTTAATAAAGCATATTTGAAAAATTAAGTGTCCATTAAGTAACACAGCATCTATGTTAACCTTGGGTACCATTCTTTTTAGGTAGTGTGATGCTCTGACCTTTTAAAGAACTCTGTTACGTAAATATTTTCTGGCAAAAAAACCCCCAACACTTCCATTTAAGAATAATTCACATGAATTGTTTTCAATTTAATGGTCTGTATTTTACTATAGAAGAATATTCTTTTGTCATTTACTGTAGTTTGATAGAATTTAAATATATAAGAAATACAAATGCTTCTGTGCTGGATGAAAAAATATCTGGTCTTCTTTCCTAAAGATTTCAGATTTATTTATGAAGGTATTTTCTCCTGTTCAGATAGAAAACATAATGTTTATTACTAAGCAAATCAGTGATTATATTTAAAAAAACCCAAAAACAAAAAACCACACACACACACACACAACCAAAAAATGAACAAACAAAAAGCTCGTAGAGAGTCCTAAGTCCACGTTCAATGTTCAGTCTGCTGGTGAAACCTTCTCATTTGAAGCCTGCTACCTAAGGAGGAAGGTATTACCTCAGTATCCTGTATTCTGAGTTCCTATGTTCTTTAGCAGGTCCAAGAAAGAGTTGTTTATTTCCTGCAAGAGTAATATATCCCAATTCAGCTTTGCTGTAAAGTATAAGTGAAGATTAAACTTTTGTTTGTTCTAGTAGTAATCCTTAGATATAAGACTTGAAAAATGCTTTAATAGTATGTATCATTTATACACCAACTATGGATTTTTGAATGTGTGGAGGTGTGAAGAGCAGCAGGTCTGCTTTAAGCGTAACAGACTTTCTCTCCTGGTCTGTTTAAAAATGTATTTTTAAAATATCATTCTCCTGGACTACATCCTGATAGCTTTTCTTTTTCTTAATTTGCAGTGACAGAAGCAGAAGCTTTGTTCGCAGGTGGTGAAAGCTGGCACTTGGCAGTTCAGTTCCATCTTGAGTGTGCCTATACATTTTTGTATTACTATGAGTATAAAAAAGCTAAACAATGTTTCCATACAGCTAAAGACATAACAAAACTGCAGATTAATCTTACAGGTAAGTTTTGCTTGTACAGTCTATGAGGATGGCTGGTTGAACCAAACTAACCCATGGTTCGTTGAGGTTTTTTACATATCCAAGTAAAAAAGAACTCTATTTTGAAAAATCATGACTTTTAACAGGTAGGACTTATTTGTCTTCCAAGAATTAGCATTGCTTGGAAAAGGGAGGAGAAATATGCTATCTAGTTACAATATCACCCCTAATATGGGTGTCTGAGAGCTGTGGTATTACAATCCTTCCTTCTCATGTTTCATATAAAATTCTAGGTCTAGCTGTCTCTGTTATGGGACTCCTGAAACTAGTTGGTGTCATGATGAATAATTTTTTTTGTTTGTTTGGAGACCCTTATAAAGAAGTCTACATGATGATTTGATGCAGTCTTTCACTGTTTATGCCACTAATCTAGATCTGCTCTATGTAAATAGCATTTAAAAGTCACTTCCAGGACTGTTGTTATCACAGAAAATAAGTAGAAAAGTAAAATTTCTGATGAACGGAAATATCAAGGATTCAGTCACTATAGAGGCCTCATAATTATCTTTCCAGAACCTATTCTTTGGAGTCAAGCAGATCAGATTGCTACACCTGCAACTTCATTTAAAATTGCGTGTACAGATGTGGGATTGTTTGGTCTAGCTGGTCCTGCTAGGTAGTCAAAATGACATAAGATGCCCACCTATTCTGTGTGAGAACTTTTGATTTTGCCTGAGTAGAAATGCAAAAAACTTTATGTAGTTTTTTCTATAGAGTTATTGGTGGAAAGGACTAAGGAACTGAAACTTGCAGCCTCCTTACCTATTATACTGCTGTACGTCACAAGGCTAGCAGTTCATTTGTATTTAGATTAGAGCTGCAGCTACCCCTTCTTATATCCTGAGTCAATTTATTATTTTAATTAAAAAAACAACAACAAAAAAATACAACCAAAAAAATCAGCCAAAAACACACATGCAAAAAAAACCCCCGCAAAACCAAACAACTTTTGTGGAACTCCATGCTCATTTCTTCAAAGGTTTTAAAGGTTTACTTTGAAAAATCTGTAATGAAAATCTTGTGGCATAATGTTTTTGCATAACTATGAGTTGATTATTTTCAAGCGTATCTGCTTAAAACATTGGAGTAATTACCATATATTTGAAGGAATTCCATGCATTTCAATTGATCCTACCCTTTTTTCCTATGCACATGTACTGTATATGTGACGTGTTCCATGTGTGGCATGTACTGCAAACTTGATGATATAAGGTAGTTTTGTTTCAAATTAGCCTAAATATTCCTTGGTTTTTATTAAAAAATCAGTGTCTGTGATGATACTCAAGCTATAAAAATTTAATTAACTAAGAACAAGTAAAATCAAAGTGGCAGGTAGCTATTCACTGATATTCCTCAACTTACACTACATGTTCAGGGTTTTTTTCCCTTTAAAGGAGATGTTTAGATTTTGGATGAATAATTTCCTTAAATCTAACCTAGGAAACAACCTCTTGTTTGGAGGGGGAAAAAAAAAGTTTGGATGCAGTGGAATTATTTGTATTTTTGATTACTTTACCAAGAAGTTATGCTAGTCCCAGAGAGAGACTGTGGTGCTATAGTCTCTTGGAAAACTGTTGTGAAACTTCTAAAAGTTCTGTGGTTTATCTCCATAAATCTGTTGGAATAGTTATGGAGGGTGTCCAACCTGAAGGCAAGTGAACTGACCTGAACATGCGGGAATTGTTGGCATTCTGGAAAAATTCATTCGATGTGCATGTTTTGGCTAAATGGAAGGCATGTTACATCATCAAAAAAGACTTTGCTTTAATGTAAAAATTCAGACTCTAGCAAAGACATTGTTAAGGCTTTTGGAAGGAATTCCCTTTTTAGGAAGGGATTTTAAGAGGTTTGTATTCTTTAATGGTTGTAATCCTTACTAGTTGAATATTTTATTATGGCATGGAAATGTATGCTGTTCTTAGAGGGAATTTAGAAACAGTATTTTCCAAAGTTATTGTAGAAATGTGTGAATAAATCATACTTGTTTTGGTTTTGTACTTTTTTTAAGTCCCATTAATACAGGTCTGTGCTGTATTCATCATTTATTAAAAAGCATCCTTATGTTCCTCACAATGAGTCACAGCCATCAATAACTCCACAAAACAATTTCCAGTAAAAGAGAAGACTGTGGTCCTTCCTGCATATAAATTTACTAAAATGAAGGGTGGTAATCCAAAATAAATTTAAGATCAACAGATCTGGAGGATTAATAATGCTGAACTCTGAGATCTGCATATTGTCTGCTTATTGGTTTCATGCCCAGTAATGCATCCCTGGGAACTTTTAATATGGAACAGAAAGTAAAGTCTCTGTGTAGATTCCCTCTTTTGGGAGGATATATGGTGCTATGAAGCAAGCAAACTTTTCCCCCGGCTTAAACACATGTGATATATGTTTTCCAAATAAAATTATTTTGTTTTGTCCCTATAATAGCAAGGAATTCTTTGCTTAAGAAAAAAAGGGGGTGGGGGGTGTGTGCATCTCAGAGCATGAACAAATCACAGTTTCTGGGTTGTAGCAAGTGAATTTATTGGTAACCAGCATACCTTTGCAAGTGTTTTATTCAGCTGTTTAAGTAGTAAGACATAATACAAAGTGAATTACAGCATAATGATTTTCAAGCATTATTAAAGTTGAAAATTGAGTGCTACCATGTAAAATTAGTATGAATCATTACCCAGTATTTTTCCCTCTGTGTGTGTGTCTTCTATGCGGTGTGCCTTACGATTTTAAGGTGATATTTTTAGAACCTTTTTCATTTCTTCATAAACTCTTAAAACAGGGCTTTCCCATTAAAAGGGGTGATTGGCAGAAAAGGATAAATCAGTTTAATTTCTGGTTTCCCTACTGTTCTCTTTCCACCTCCAGAAAGAAAAAGGGGTGACTGCTATTTCAGTGCGTGTGCCAGGTGATTCTTACTGACAATGGCCTCATCCTCATGCCTTTGTCACATGGGCAGTCAATCATCTTTACCGCAGAGATTCTTGTCCTGCAAAATTTTCAAAATTATAATGAAATTAAGAACTTGATCTTAACTGTTCTGCAAAAGCAACAGTGGATCAGCATTCAGTCCTCTGTTTCTGTTACTGGACTTTTATGGTTCACGTTATCTGAGCATTGTATCATAGTAATAATAAGCAAGCTGTCCTGGTTTCGGCTGGGGTAGAGTTAATTTTCTTCCTACTAGCTGGCATAGTGCTGTGTTTTGGATTTAGTAGGAGAAGAATGTTGATAACACACTGATGTTTTTAGTTGTTGCTGAGTACTGCTTAGGCTAGTCAAGGACTTTTCAGCTTCCCATGCTCTGCCAGGTGCACAAGAAACTGGGAGGGGGCACAGCCAGAATAGTTGATCCAAACTGACCAAAGGGCTATTCCATACCATGTGACGTCATGCTCAGTATATAAACTGGGGGGGGTTGGCTGGGGAGCAGCGATCGCTGCTCGGGAACTGTCTGGGTATCGGTCGGCGGGTGGTGAGCAATTGCATTGTGCATCACTTGCTTCGTATATCATTATTATTGTTATCATCATTATTATACTGTTACTATTAGCATTACTATTTTGCTTTATTTCAATTATTAAACTGTTCTTATCTCAACCCAGGAGTGTTTCTCACTCTTACTCCTCCGATTCTCTCCCCCATCCCATCGGGGTAGGGGGAGTGAGCGAGCGGCTGCGTGTTGCTTAGTTGCTGGCTGGGGCTAAACCACGACACAAGCAAACCTCCAAATTTTATAGACTAATTTTTAGCTCCATTTTGGCTCTGGTTAGGATTCTGTTATTCTAAGTTACTGTCCTGAAATTGTTCTATGATTTCTGATTGCAGCTTGCAAACAGGTTGCTAACAGAGGAGGAACAGATGTGTTTTTCTTTTCGTTTGGTATAAATGTCAATTGCCACCCTAAAAACTAGTAAAAGTTGTTTGAGGGTCAAGTAAAGAACTGAAGAAACAACACAGAGGAATTTCACATTGTGCATTCTGAATATTGATTAATTGAGTAGACAGCCTTCATTGGTTTTCTGTTTCACTCTCTCCCATGATACTTTTACAGTATATAATGTGCCGTATTATGGTAATGTCATGTCTGTGATCCCTCTTCGTAGACTTAAGTATTCAAATAAAGATTTGAAATATTTTAAATGATGGCCTGTAAGATATTATGGGATTTTCATTTGCCTAAATGTCTCCATGTTGTCATTAACTTTTAGTGGGCAAATCGAACAATTGTTTGTGGTTTATTGCTAGGGAATAAGGAGAGAACTGATGAAACTTGATGACTATGAATTTTCAAGAGACAATATGGTGGGTTATGGGGAATTTACCTAAAAAGAGCTTTGCAAGACCTATCTAGCTGTGTTTGTATGTTTGTAATATGTATTTCTTTGTTATGTCATAGCTAGCAGTGAGAACACACGTAGTTCGCTGCAAAGAGATTAAGCAGAGTTAAATCACTGCTAAATTTCATAGGTTAATTCTCAATGTGTTTGTCTTTTTATTTTGCTCTTTTGTGAGCAACTTTCTAGTATATGATGGGATTACTGGGTTTTAGTGTTCATTAATATAAAGTTATATTAATTTTCTGTAGGTGCTTTGGGGAAGAGAACACGATTTCAGGAAAAATATGTTGCACAGCTTATTTTGGATGTCCAAAGAACAGATGAATTCCTCCTTCCACACAGTGAACTAAGTCCAGCTCCAACACCTCTAGAAAACTTAACAATGGTATGTATCTGAGAATAATTGTTTTAATTTCTTAAAATGAAAATGTGCTGAAGCTTTTCTTGGGTGTCTGCAAGGGAAAAGTTTGTGGTGCCTAGGAGAAACTTATGATTTCTGAAAGTTTTTGGAAAAGATGTGGGGCAGTTGTTTGTCTAATATTAAAGGACATGGGGTAAACCAACATGTGACTGCAAGACAGATGTGGCTACTCAACTAAAAGCATGTTTGCAAATATGATCATCTACAGTTTATGTATTAATTTGTAGTGCCTAAGAATGATGGAGTTAGGAAAATGGGTGAGACATTTTCAAAATAGCCTGCAAGGCATCACAAAAATGCACAGATTCCTAAGGACTGACAGGCATGTTTAGTAACAGAGTGAAGATAGGAAATTGGTCTAGGTATTCCTACTGGCATGAATTATGCGACTTGGCCCTGCTGGTCCTAAGAATGTGCATGATGACTTCAGTTATAAATTGCTCAACAACCACTGAATTGTTCTGGAATGGCGTTTTTCCTTCATGAGGAGAAGTTCTGTTCAGGATTTAAAGTTATTTGAACTTGCTAAAGAAGCCAGAAATAAATTGAGGCAGAAGAATTTGCCTTTGTGGTCTGTATCTGATAAGGACTTTACCTATCTCTGTAGTCTATATCTGATAAGGACTTTAGTTTGGAATAAAATAATGATATTTCAATAAAAATGGCAACACTGGTTTAGGCTGTAGGTATAACCTGGAACGAAATATATTTTCCTTGCTGATAAAATGCTGTATTCATATGTCCTTTTAGTGAACAGAGCCAAAGCTGCTGAAGTAAGTTTAATGGAGAGTTTGAAAAAGAAAATTGGGATATTTGGAACCTTTAAAAATTAGTCATGCTTATGTTATCCACACTTTCCTACTAAAATTTTACTGAATGTATCTTGAAAATAATGCATACCTACTCTTTCTGAAAAGTAAAAATGTGGCACGAGAAAGGACTTGAGAAGTTTTGGCTGCAGGGAGGGAGATGAGTTTTGTGGAGGTCTGAGCGACTGTGTCATATAATTCTGTCATAAGTTACTTGGGCTGTCTGTTAAGGAAAGTTAGGCTTTCTGTTCCCACAGTCTACTTCTGGGGAAAAATAAAATCAGAACCTTTTATTTCTGCATTTTGTGTGCATCAGAAATTCTGGAAAATAATATTAGTAAAACCATGTGCTCCTTTTGAGGAAAACCTGAGGTATTTCAAGTTCAGACATTTTATTAACTTCATGTGTGAGTGTCCTGTCACAGGTATTAGACCAGGCTTGACTAAGTAGACTCCCCAGTTCATGTGTATGTTGAATTACCAATTAAAGGTTTTGGGTTTTTCCACCCTTTTCTAGAATGTCTTTATTGATAATGTAGTATCAAAATACAGCTTCATGTAATTTGTCAGTGTTAACTTTAACAGTGAGTCCTAGTGTTTCTTTTGGCAGATCTGGTGTCAAATTTGTCAGCCTTGAGTGCCTCTGGAAGATCTTTTAGCTAAAATTGGAGTTAATGCTATTCTCCATCTGCCAAAAACTACCAGCATCATCACTGCATCTCTCTCTAAGTTTAGGCCAGATACTTAATGTATCCTGTATACTTTAAAAGGACTATTCATGGAAAATGAATAGAAGCTAAGTCTTGAGAGGTGCTGAGAATCTCCACAGAACTAGCATATGCATATGGAAAGCTAAAAGGCCTGTGATCAGGCTGCAAAATTATCATAGGGAAATTTTCTTCCCATTTCCAGTGTTCTTATTTTACATCTGCCATTTGCAGATAAAGGAAAATATTTGTCTAAAGATAGGAATTGTCCTGGATGAGTGGAAAGTTTCCCAAGATAATTATAAACTCTGCCAATATGTATAAAGGCCAAGTTGAGACTGGTGGCACCTAATTTTCATCTCCTGTTTTGGAGTGCTTACTTCTATGGTCTTAAAGTTCTCCCCCTATTATTGTTCAGTAAGATGACCGAAAAAGTTATTTTGCCACTAAGTGGTCATTAAAAATACAACCAATTTAGTAATGTGACCAATTGTTGGACTGGTAGCTGGGCTGATTTCTGGTCAAGTGCTTCCTGCTTCCCTTTGGCTCTGAGCAGTGATGTTATCTCTGGTGGCACTAGAAGGAAAACTATTTGCATTTCAAAATAAATATTTGAGATTGTAAGTTCAAAGCTTTGCTCGCAGGTCAGCTTTCTCCAGAATAACTAAATGATCTGAAAGCACACATTCAGTTAAACTGACGATGTTTCTGTGAAAGGAAAACCTCAGGCTTGAGGTGATGCATAAGGACTCTTGATATGAAATAGTATATTAAAACAGTTTGATTAACTTCAAAAAATTCAGAGCTGTTTTTATGTTTTGGGCAAATGAGGAATTTCTTTTTAAGTTTGGGAATGGAAGTCATGCTTTAAAACTCTAGCATGCAGTTGCAGTACAGTTCAGTTGATCAATATTCATAGTGAAGTTAAAGCAATTAGTGCTGTTTATATAGGCTAGATTTTAAAGATTATGTAGACCAGAAGCTGGAATTTTTTAACTAATTGCCTTATAAATTAAATTTTAATTTATGTTACATCTAATGAAGTGGTATCATTATACTAGCATAGTGCTCTGTTCTGAAGTAATTTTCATCTGGAAGTGGTAGCTAATCCTTATATATGCTAATGTAGTAAGAGAAGAAAATGATGGTAGTAAATAGGCCTTTAAGAGTTGGAATCTCTTCATTATCCCCTTGAAATGAAAGAAAATAAACTTATTTTCTTCATATTCTCTGTCAAATCACAGTTTAGTTTCATTTGTATAGTGATAAAATACTGATGATGAATACAGATAACCCACTTTGAAGCATTCCTATTTGCTTTTTGTTCTTCTGTGGACCCTCATTTTGACCTTGCCAATGGAAGATACTCACTGGAAACAGCCACTACTAGGACAGTGAAGGGAAATGAATAGAAAGTTTGAAAAACTGTTACATAAATCCATTTTCTCTTTGGAATAGATTATAAAAACTACTACTAGTAACTAAAAACCAGTAGTACAATAATTGGTTTAAAGACTGGGGTGTTTTTTGTTTTGATTTGGGCTTTTTTTAGGGGAAGGAGAAATAGTGTTACCGCTACCACCTCCTTGCTTGCAACCAAAGGAATCTTTTGTTGTTTCCAAACAAGCACAAATTCTGTGACCATAGTAAATTAGCCATGTAAATTACTAATTCACATTTTTTTCAGCCACAGATTATATTACTTTAAGTTAAATGACAGACAGTGAACTTCAGGTAGCATACTTGTTTGTAGAAGTTAAACTGAGTATTCCTTAAACAATTTGTTCTAGAGGACATTTGATGGAAAGTAACAAGTGCTTGTCCAGGAGCAAACCTTCTCAGAATACCCGTTCTTGCTTTTACCAGGGCAAAGTATCTGGAGGGGCTGCCTCAGTGCTTTTTAGTTTTTTCAATCTGCGTTTCTTTAATTTGCAAAGCTCCTTTGCAGGGGGGCGGGGGAAAGGAGGAGGAGCAGTTCCCTACTTAAGGAATTTAACTCTACTGGCAGAAGGCATGCTTTTACTTGCACTTTGCTGATACGTAGAAAGAAATCCATATATTCCCAGAGGTCCATGGTTGCTAGTCTGAAAACCTGCATGTTAGGATAGCATTTAACATTATACAGACAAGATGAAACAGATTATATATAATAGAGGAGAAAATTGTTGATAATACTATGAGCAACAGTTTGAAAAGGAAAATCCCCTTCAGCCCTTATTTAAGTAGAAAATCAATATTCAGGTAACCTTAAAGTTGCTCTGAATGCTGTTCCTCCTGCATGACAACCAGTATACTTTTAACGGAAGTGTGTTGGATGATGCTTCCTTCTATTGGCTTAGTCTGTTAGTTATCGTATCATAATCATTGTAAATTACTTTCCATTTTGTTGTTTTCTGTGTTTTGTTCTGTATTTGTTTTTTGTATTATCCTTTTTCAAACAAGTCTATTTTTTTCATATTTTAAGGCATCAATTCCTCTGCAACTATTCCTACCTATTTTAAAATATTTTTTTCTCCTCCAACAGAATTATGATTTAAATGATGATACGGTGCTTAATGAGATAAAATTAGCAGATGCTGATCAGTACCAGGTACCTGATTTGTGTGCAGAAGAGCTTGCCATAATCCTTGGAATATGGTATGTTTGTTCATAGTTACTTAAAATACTGCATGAATCATTGTGAAAATGAAATAAAGAGGTGGTGAGTTGATGGGACTTTTTTTCCTTCCTTGTCATATAGTCTGGCTAAAATGCTAAAAGATTCACATTATATGTGGATACATTTTCAGTTATCTCAGAGTGAGCATTAGTGTCCAGTTCAGAATTTCAGTGTTTCATTAATTGCTATATTGTTCTCTTATCCTGGAAAAGCTTCTTGTTCTTTGTGCCTCGGTTTAATCGCAATTGGCGTTAGCTACCATATGGTGATGACACTGGTAAATTTTGAAAACCTCTTTCAGAGTCTGCAATGCTCAGCTTCCTATGAGGATCAACCATGTCTTCCAAGCAAAATGCTGCCCTGCTATTCAGTGCAATGGGAATACTTGTATAAATTCAGTGTCCACTGCTAGTTACAAGCTATAGTACAAAGTCTCTGTGGTTTTGCACCTAAGTTTTTTTCTTTTCCTGGCTTTCAGAAATTATATGCTACACTGGTTTTGGAAATGGCACAGCAGAGCAAAAAGCAGCTTGAGATTTGAGGATAATAAGCTGGCTGCTAATGAATATCCTCATTGTCTAATAGAGAAATACTTTTTCTATGATATAGTGGTCATTTAGCCGATGACAGTTACCACACAATTTTGTGTGTGTGATTTATTTCAGCAGTATTAGCATGTCAAGGTAAAAATGGTGACTTTGATGCAGTATTCATCATTGATACTTCTCAAAGCACTTTTCTGATCTGTGAGTTGCAAAATGATGGAATCTGCAAGTACTGCTGAAATATCTTGCCCAAGACAGGAGGCGGCCAGGAGCCAAACAATGAGTGAATCCTAGTTCCCAAGTCTCAGACTGGTGTTTCCTCTGTGGGGGCACATGGATGCTACCAGATTTATCTTTGTGATAGGGTGACAGCAATAACCGGCTGGTGAAAGGCTAGTGAGACAATTCAATGGCATAAGCTAACAACCCAGCATTTGGCAGCAGTTCCTTTGTGTTGTGGGGCTTTTTCTTGTTTTGTAGCACATGTTATAATATTCCTCTCCCCCCTCTCCCCAAAATTTTCAGTTATTTTTCTCCTTCTTGTCCCATAAAGTACAGTGGAAGTCATTAGTGGAGAGAAGATTGTTTCCTTTCATATGCCCATTTCTCAGACTGCGCAGGGCCGGACGCTTGCTTGGCTATATAGTTGAAGTCACATGTGAAGTTCCGTGTCTGTGGTTTCAGCTATGCCCTTTAACCATTCAGCCCATCCACTGTAATCAGGATTTCATGGGTGGAATATGTACCGTGGCTTCGTATTTTCTTTATTCCCCAAGGCTTAAATTTGTTTTCTTTTCGAGGCCACGTCTAGATCCAGTTTGAGGACAAAGGAGTGGAATGAACAGTAGGTTGACATATATTCTTGGCCCAGTCAATTTTAGTCTTTCACACTGACACAAGTCAAGGCAAAGCCTTCCACTTGCTGAGAAGCATTTTCATGTGCACTTCATTTTTTTTAACTCAGTATTGTCTTATATTCAGATTATATCATCCCTCCACCTTTCTGAAGGAAATTTTAATTTGCCTGTTGGTCTCTCTCTCTCTCTGAAAGGGTAGAATTTGAATTTTACATTGGCTGCACAGTAGGTTTCTTGACCACGGTATTTCACTTTGAAACCACCACTGTCATCCTCTGAATAGTGGCAAGAAACCATTTTGACTGCCATCTGCGCGTGTACATTATAATCCAAGTGGTATGCGAGTTTGACAGGACTCAAAGCAATCAGCTCATTTAAGAAACTAAAAACAACCAACAAAAAAAAAAAATTCAGTGTTGCTTCCCCATTGGAATGGTAACTGCCATTCAGTGGGTGGGATAATGTTGAGCAGCTGAAACTATTGCAGTCATAGATGGAGACAAGAATTGATATCCAGCCATGTTCCAGAAATGTTAGTAGATTGCCAGCTTTGAGAACTGTTCTGAGGGGATTTAGGATACAACCCTTGTGACTGAGTGGTGTTTAGGCTTGGATTGCTGGCAGTACCCTTGATGTCTATACCAGCTATTAGCATATCAATTTGCAAGGAAGCATATACATGTGTCCTGGTTTCAGCTGGGATAGAGTTCATTTTCTTCCTAGTAGCTTGCATAGTGCTGTGTTTTGGATTTAGTAGGAGAAGAATGCTGATAACACCCTGATGTTTTAGTTGTTGCTAAGTACTGCTTATGCTAGTCAAGGACTTTTCAGCTTCCCATGCTCTGCCAGGTGCACAAGAAACTGGGAGGGGACACAGCCAGAATAGTTGATCCAAACTGACCAAAGGGCTGTTCCATACCATGTGACATCATGCTCAGTATAGAAACTGGGGGGGAGAGTTGGCTGGGGGGCGGCAATCACTGCTCAGTGACTGGCTGTGCATTGTTTGGCAGGTGGTGAGTGGTTGCATCACTTGTTTGTTCCCTCCCCACCCCTCCTCCCCCCCCGGTTTTGCTCCTCTTTTTGTTGTTTTCCTTTTCACCATTTATTATTATTATTATTATTATTGTAGTAGTAACAGTATTTCATTTATTAAACTATTCTTATCTCAACCCATGAGTTTTCTTCCTTTTACCTTTCCAGTTCTCTTCCCCCATCCCACCGTGGAGGGAGGGTGAGAGAGCGGCTGCATGGTGCTTAGTTGCTGGCTGGGGTTAAACCACAACAGCATGTTAAAGCGTTTAGTGTTGGCTTTTAAGCAAAACATACTTCTCAAACATTAGCTATAGGAAATACCTTGCTTTTCTTTCATGCTTGAGGACTTCAGTTCTATAGAGTAAATACCTCATTTCATAATTAATAAGTTGGCTTTAGAATTCCTTTAAGTTTCCAAAGCAGTTCTAATTAGACTTTGTTTTAGGTCTAGCACCACCTTAATGGTATCTGTTGTTGACTGCTCTTGTCAACAGTGGATGTTTTTTGCAATGCAAATAAACTTTTAGACACTGACCTGGTTGGTTGAAGAAAGGCAGCCTGCAGGTAAAGAAAAAGAGTAAATGTGAGCAATTTTTTTCCTATACATTTTACTGTGCTTGCTAGTGTTTCTTTTACAGCAAATGTCACAGAAATACCCCTTAATTCAACTGAGATTTTTGTAGCTAAATAATGTTAACTCAAAATCAGCACCATGCAGAAATGTTTGTGGATAGCAGAACAAACTGAAAATTGTTACAACTTTTGGCAAATACTTAATTACAATTACATAGGATCCTATAGAATTACCTGAATACACGTTTCCTGCTATGAAGTAATTTTCATTGCAAGTAGGTTACAATGATCAAATGGCTAAACAAAGTACTATTACAGTATCAGTACAAACATTTTCATCTCCTCCTCCCTGGTAATATTTTAAGAGGATATAAAAGATTTTTTGAAGTGTTGAAATATCTCATACCAGCTGTCTTTACAAAAATCCAAGCAACATCTCATGCAGTATGCTTAAGCCAGCATGTAAATAACATGCATGAGCCTAAATCAATTAGATATTATTTTAAACCTCTCTGTTACACTGATGTAAGGAAAGAACAACTTATTTATCCGTAATCCATTTATATAAAAAAATAGCAATGTAAACTGTACCCAACCAGTTCTCTGTGGCATCTGTAATTTGAGGCAGTTTTCTTTAAAATGTTCAGCTATTCTATTTCTTCTCTGCAAATTCCTTTTCTTCCAAATACTGATCAGTCTGCTTAACTAAATGTAAAAGAAAACATTTGCCTCTTTTATGATAATGAAACTGTAGCTAAAACAAAGTGTAGAGGGGGGGAAACCACTCCAGTCTGCCTCGCTTACACAAAGACTTCCTATTCCATCATATCCAGATTTTCTAGTATCTATGTAGGAAGAAAGTGTCTAGAGGTGTCTTCAGATCATCATCACTGCAGGAGTAATGCAATCTAAAGGAAATATCTTTCTCTGTCTCTCAAGGATTAAATCAGGTCAAAATAGTGTGTTATACTGGAGGTACCTGAGCTCAGTCAAAGACTGTGCACCAGTCTTCAGCTGGTAAGGAAAGCTTAATAACTTACTGTACAGTAATACATTGGATAATAATATATTATACAGTTTACACAGTGAGCTGCAGAAGTGTACTTGAAACAGCTGCATAAGCACTAAATAGCATTAGGACTAAAGGATTTTTAACAGTATTACCAAATATTAGCTTTTGAATCAATTGAATAATTAGAAAAAAAAATCCCAATATACGTGTTGGCAGTGGACACATCATGGGGAACTTGGGTAGGTGAAACAGGAAAACACTGAAAATGTTTTCATAGCTACTTGAAATTTGAGAATCTAATACTAGCTGGCTGTCTGTTCTCTAGTCAATGGAGAAATCAGCAGCTGCAGAGTGTGATTCATTTCACTTCAGGCACTTAGTTTACAATGAGTTGAATCACTCCCTACATTTATCTGTATTTTTGCATGGACTCTGAAGGAAGCCTAGACAGTTAGCTAGATTAAAGGCCTAAATTTTACATGGTTAAAGTTAGGTAAGATGGGTCATGTGCTTATTAAGGTTATATATATATTATATATATGTAAAAAAGCAATGACAGGTAAACAATTATTTTCATCTGTTTTTATAAGAGAGAGCATTCTCTCTTCCATTGGGATGGAAAAGGTTATATTAAACTGACTGTGGAAGGCCAAAGCTTATACATGTTGTCCTGTGAAACTAAAAGCTGTGAAATAAAATCTTGGACAGCATTAAAGGTGATGAAGGTTTTTCTGTTAAATGCTTTTTGGCACTCTGGCCCATCTTTACAAACATGTCATGTAAGTCTAAATCTATAATTATATTTTTTTGAAACAAACCAATTACACATGCCAGACAGTATAGTGATCTCACCACGGTCAGTTTATGGCTGTTGAAAATCATTGCTACAAATTATATTGCTGTGCACCAGTATATACAGCTGTGTGAAGAGATTGCACTGGGGAAATGAAGTTCCT